TCTCTCTCTCTCTCTCTCTCTCTCTCTCTCTCTCTCTCTCTCTCTCTCTCTCTCTCTCTCTCTCTCTCTCTCTCTCTCTGTGCGATTCCCTGACTTTTGCACACAATCACACACGCAGGTTCAGCATATGACTTTGGACTCCCTCAAAGTAGACGACCTTTCATGATGACCATCCCTCCATCCCAGGGCCCGGACGCCACGTTTCCACCCGTCAGTCCAAAGACTTCCCCGTCCATTCATTCGTCTGTCCAGCCATAAAGACGCAGCAACGCATGAACATTCCGTCATATCCAACAGTCAATTTAACGAGTCAGTTCAGGAGTAAGCTTAGCAGTCATTCCCTGCCAATTAACCTCTATCAGGTCATCACCCCACCGCCAGAAAATCCACCATTCACTGTCCTCCTCATCTAGCATCTCCTGTCCTAAGAAAACGCATGCACATCTCCTGTCCTAAGAAAACGCATGCACATCCTCACTCAGTAACCTCATTACAATAGGCTGTATAGCACCACAAACCCACACACACATACACTCACAAACACACAGAGGAAGGGATTCACATACAAACAGACAAACACAGACCACTCCCACACAAACAGACATATCTCCAGGCCTCCAATCACTTGAACCGACACCAGAACACTGGAGACAGTGAAAGCACCACAGATTTCCTCTTCACCATGCTGCACATTGTTAAGAGCAGTAACACGACAGCTGTTAAGACAGTTCTGTAGTTGGCGCATCTGGTAAATATAGCCAACTTTCCATCATTAGTCTCTGTTCACATGACATTGTCATGTCCTTGGTTTCCGTTTCTTTCCACATGACATCCTCACTTCCTTGGTTTCCATCGCATTTCTTCTGACAAAAGAACTTACGTGGGGTTTTCAAAAAGCTGTGATGAACCCAATACCGAGAAGCTCACAATACCAACACCGTCCAAATATCTCATGAACCACAATGATTGACAATCACCAAAAGATAGCAACTAGAAAAGAGCTTAAGCAAAGGAAGCAAGAGTACGTGGACAACGTCTCACATTCCCCCTTCCACCTCCAGGCTTCTACTTCCTCTTCTCGCCATCTCACAGTCAGCACCTCACCAATAGGCAAAGTCACTCTCCCACTCGATACTAACATGGTGCAATCAAGAATACCAGCGGTCTAGCAAATGCTGACCATCAGAAGTGAAGCGCTCTCTCTCCAAAAGATGGCGCATCAGCAGGTAATATCTCTCTCTCTCTCTCTCTCTCTCTCTCTCTCTCTCTCTCTCTCTCTCTCTCTCTCTCTCTCTCTCTCTCTCTCCACCCCCCACTCTGCACAGGATGCAATTGTCCCTCGAACCTCACTCTCTCTCCTGCTAAGCTAAAGTGCAACGCACCAACTATCCTAGCTATGGATACTCACCCTCTCATTTCCACTCTCCCTCTCTGTCTGCCTTATTCCATCAGCAGCACTCGAGTAGCAGCACTCCAGCCTCAGAGCGGTGCAAGGCAGCATTAATGCACAGCCTGAGGCAGGTGAAGTGTTGACTTGGCATGGCCTCCTGCCAGTTGCCTCCTCATATAGCTGAGATTTCTCAATCTGTACAGCCATGATTTCCTTGTGGCCAGTGCGTGCCTGGACCCAGCGGACCAGGGCAGGTTCTGGAAGCTCCACTGAGGATTGGGTAGTGTGTGATCTGTGGTGGTGGCCGGCTCCTAAGAAATCTTTGACTCTTAACTTCTGCACTCGTGATGAGCCTGGTGGTTAAGTTTCCTAAGGCCTCTTTCGACTGCTGGAGGAACTGGGGCGCTCAATTTGACCCTTGACCCCAGGCCTACTGCCTTGAGAACTTTCCAGAGCCTCTTTAGATAGACGCTCTGAGACCAACTTTTGACCCCAGAACTTCAGACTTGCAAACAGCTACACCCTAATACTTGTTCTGTGCAGAATTGACCTTGGTTCATTTCAGCAACATTCAAGTGTTTACCATGTACCATGATTGGCATATCCTTAAAACCCACCCTTAAACCACCAGTACTTCCCAGGCACTTTTCTTCAAGGCTGGAAATGAGCTGCAGCCCTCCTTTTGGCTGGCACCGCCAGCCATTTGCTCCGGCGCCGAGCCCCCAAAGTTGAGGCAGCATGCAAGCCGCGACTCCTAAAAAATGGCTGAGAAACGTACTGCTGGCTAAAACCACCAGTACTAGTTACATAGGCTGGCACCCAGGCTCTGGTTGGTAGGCAATAGCCACTGCCTACAGGGCCCCAGACCCCAGCCTCAAGCAGACGAAAGCAAGGAGGCCATGCGGGAAGACAAATTCAGGCATTGGGAGCATTGCAGCAGCGCTGGAGCACCACAGCGCAGCTACCGTCTTCCCCCGAACACAACGCACCCTGATTTTGACCGTATCTGGCCGGAAATATAGCTTGTATACATTCATTTTTGGGGTGCGTTATGTTCGGGGGAAGACGGTAGTTAGTGCCTGGGAAGACAGAAACAGCCATGGTAGTTGTTAGGCCACTAGCTGCCATTGCTGAGCAGCCCTGAGCAAGAAGCAGGGTGGTCTGGTGTTTGAGTGCTCAAGGAAGAGGAGGATAGCGAGTGGCTTGGGTGGGAGCACTCAAGTGGTCAAACTCTTCAGCTGAATCTAGCGAGAGGCTTGTGGACATAGAAAGAGGAAGGAGAAAACTAGCGTGTGTAGGAGGAGCAGGAGAGTACTAGAGGTAGACACATCATAGTAGGGTTACATAATCATTCTATTGATTGTAGGAGGTTTGAAGAGGGCTTTCAATTGTCAAGGCACTTCAGTCTTCAATGTGTTCTCAGTTTGGTGTGCTCTAGGGTCTGTAATTCTACTTTCAACTCGGCTTATTCATGATTGGCCGTTTGTGAGTTTTTGTATCTCAAAAACTTTGTTCTCATGGGATGTTTCCTTGCATAAAGACCTTGATGTTGTCATATACAGCACTGATTACAGGGTAATTGGATCAAAGATTTCGGAGTATTCACAGCACTATTGGTACTACATCTAGCGAGAGGCATGTGGACATAGAAAGACCAAGGAGGAAACTAGTGTGTATAGGAAGAACAGGAGATTAATAGAGGTCAACACATTATAGTTAGGGTTACTACGTTGTTGTTCTATTGATTGTAGGAGGCTTGAAGAGGGCTTTCAATGTCAAGGCACTTCAGTGTTCAACGTGTTCTTAGTTTGGTTTGCTCTAGGCTTTGTAATTCTGCTTTCGACTCAGAATATTCATGGTCTTTTATGAGCTTTTGCATCTCAAAAATTGTCTTCTCATGGGGTGTTTCCTTGCATGAAGGCCTCTACATTGTCATATATAGAACTGATTAGAGGGTAATTGCAGTTGTCAGAGGTTTTTAGAGTATAAATAGCACCATTGGTACCACGTTCACAGTCATTTTTGGTCATCACTGACATCTTACACTCAGTCGTCAACTGAAATGTAGAACGCAGTAGTCGTCCCTGCGCTAAAAGAGAGTAGCCATTTTCGCTTTATACGAGTGATTGCAGGCAAGAGGCCGACGACCACATATTGAGGAGTGGAGCTAGACAACGGCTCTTGGTGTTCCAACAACTTGGAGGCAACAGAGAGAGAAGAATTAGAATACAGGCCAGGGAACAAAGATCAACAACACCCACGTTAAGCTCCTCCTCTCCGGCCGTTGTTCAGAGAAAAACAAGTGCAGCTTCAGCAAGCTAAAGTGTGGGGCTCACTGAGTCAAGCACCTCAATCAAGCAGGGTGCACTTCAGAGAAAGATAGAAAATGAACCAGTAAAGGTAGTTATGAAAGTGAACGACGCAAAAGCAAGCAAAGCCTTACTAGAGGGACCAGAGGCAGGCAAAGAAAAGTTAAATCTGGCATGCAAGAGGCTGTCTAGAGGAGAACAGCCACTCATCCCACTAGTATCTCGCCCAGGCAAACTTGAGAATCGAGATCAAGCCAATCTGATTATTTCAAAGCCTTGGGGCTACCGAACCAAAAAGGCTGGCGGTGCCACCCAAAAGGAAAAAACAAATCGCCACACTTGCATTTCGGCAAAGGGGGAATCCGCCTCAACAAAAAGAGGCTCGTAGGTACACGTGGCTGGTAATGTACGTAGGTACACGTGGCTGGTAATGTACTAGCCTACTAGGCCTACACGAAGGTTGCCGTACGCTTGAAAGTAAGATAGACAAATCCACGGCACTTGTGGAAAGTGCCATGCATAAGATAGACAAATCCACGGCACTTGTGCAAAGTGCAATACCTGAATGAGACAGCCCGTTGCAGCAAGCACTGTTGTCACTCCCAAACCTAACAGGCCTACAGGTCCAACTCCACAGATAAGTGGTTAGTCAATGCCGTCGTCTCCGCCATTTGGTCCTCAGTATGGTAGACAAGCTCCCATGGGGTGTTCTTGTGTATGGTAAACAACCTCCAAAAGTTCACATATGTCAAATCTCATCAGTGGCAGAATCCGTCAATTCTGCACAGAAACGAGATGTTGCCTGGCCCGTTTCAGGGGAGGGGGAGGGTCGGCCAGATTTTTCCCCAGAAGCTGTGGAGCTTGAGATTTGACATCCGCATACTGTTCGTGAGAGACAAGTCAGACCGAGTGGGATCCTGCCACTTGTTGATAGTAAGGAGTAATATTACCCAGCAAGTGCACCTTGGTGCCATTATCCCACCCCCGAAGGTAATAGCACTGAAGTTGCCCGAACAGTGCAGGATGTACGGACGACTATTCAGACAGATTCAGGTCCAGAATTCTGCGTAGCTGGCTGGAGTTGCAGTTGTCTTCCCATAAATGCCATAGACAGCACTTTCATGTTCATGCCATCCACAGTGCTGTCATCCTTTGGGCAAACAGCACAGTGGTTTGATTCCATCCGGCAGACAATGTCTGCAAAATCAGAAACTGTCTGGGGGTTGCAATTGTAAGTGAGGAGACAAACATTAATGGCATAGTACACACAATGGCCTCGCTGTAGCACCATGAGATCATTTGACTCTGAAGGTTGCACAAAAGGGGGAAGTTCATTCTGATCTTGACAGTCTCTGTCATGCTCCTCTGGCTGTACTAACTCTATTGACTCTAGTGTGCGTTATGGAGAGAGATCACCTCCATTCGGGGGTTCAATCAATTGATCAGAGGGTGGATAACTGTCAGTGGAGTAGGGGGGCAATAGGTGCAAGGTGGATTAGATAAGTGGGAGGGGCAGATGCAAGAAGCGGAAGCTGATCAGCCACA